GTATGCTTGGTACCTTAATTTATAAGTCAGATGGTAGGGTACCCTCGCCTCTCCAAACACCATCTTAGATTATTTATTGCTTACTATTATTAAAGGCAATCTTTGTAATCTTTTTTTTTGGTGGAAAATCTTTGTAATCTTTAGGTCCCTTTGATTAAAGGTTAGTTTTATTGCAAAATTTTTTTCTTAAAAAAGTGATAATTTTGTTAAATTATTAATTTTTATGTGTTTAATAGAAAATTGATACATACAAAATTAATAAATAAATCTTACATGAGAAAATTTTAATTTTTTTTCTAAGTGTGTGAGAAAAAAGTATATTAATTGTAAATTATATTGAAGAAAAACATTAAAAAATATCTTTGTTTTCTTCAAATAAAAAAAAAAATTAACCAAGTTGAAGAGAAAGGAGGAGAGGCAAAGGAAGAGGAGAGAAATTTAGATAAATGAACAAATTAGAAAAATAAAAATAAAAATTCTTTTTTTCCTTTTTAATTTTTTTTAATAATTAAATAAAAAATTTACATTTCTCTTTTCTCCACTCTATTCCCCCTCAACTCATGGGAGAAAAAACTTTCCTTCCAACTAAACAGGGATTATTCTTTCCTTTGATTTAGCCTCAATCATAGTTTAGTTAAAACTTAAAAGTCAAATTAAACGAGGTGATTCAAGGCTCCATTTGACTTGTGCACAACTTGATTCAGTTGAGACAAAAGGGAACTGAATGATTGAGGTCAGTAAATAAGGCTGAAATACTGTCTTGTACATTGGGACCCCAACAAAGCGAATTAAATCACTGAAAACATCTATATATATATATATATATTTAAGAAAAAGGGTTTTGAAATAATTTTTTAAATTAATTTTTTGATATAATTTTATTGTATTATTTAAATAAATTTTTATTAATTTAAATTTTATAATATTGAATATATATTTATTTAATAATATATAAAAATTACATAAAAATAATATTAAAAAATTATCTTTATATCACCATACTCCTATTACTGCAAAAATGCCATAGGAATTTGGCAATAAATGAGTAGAGCCAATCTGCAAAATATTTGCAGTTTAATTTCCTCTCTCTATTGGTAGTATTTTACATGACGTATAAATGTCGGTTTGTCAATTCCCGGAAATTTTGGCACAAGTCAAATGTGATCAAATAAAAATAAATAAATCTATTTGTGAATTTAGTCTTCCCATTTTCATTGGTCTCATATCATATCTACAATTTTTTTTTTTTGATTGGTTAATGGTTGTTAGTTATTATTTTCTTACTCTTTGATAAGGTTTAATCACTAATCAAGATGCATTTCATCGACAGTTCTTTTGGATTGTAATGGTCATCAATGAGTCATAACAAAAAAATGCTATCAGATCTATAATTTTAGTAGATCTGAAGGTGTAAAAAATTCTCATTATAGTACACGAGTATATCTCAAAAAAAAAAAAGAGAGAAAAAAAATTTAATTTCAGCTATTAAAATTTTCCAAGGTAATTTATTTAACAAAGCTAAGTAATCGGATCACTTTTCTTTCTCTCTCCCCTCAAAGCATTATTAAATCTTAAAATTAATGTGAATCAAGATTTAATTACTCCATAATAAATACTAAAGTAAACAAATAATTGAGTTTGTAAGATATGATATTGAAATAGTCACATTTATACCAATAACAATTTAATCAAATTAATATCTTCTAATTTAATTACTTTAATTTATAGTCAAGATGGTTAAGTTCATATGCATACTGTCCATGGACCAAGGGAGAAGTTCATTTCAGTTAATACACTCCTCCCCACCACTTTATAATTATTTTTTTTTAAATTATCACACCTTACTTTCAAAAAATTTCATTTTGTGGATGTTGATTATGGTTATTTGTTAATCTGATTCAAGAATCGGGAAAAAAAAAACCCAAAAAGAATACATATATAAAAGGGGTAGATTTCATTTTAGCTTTCACGGGGTTTGCTCGTGATTGGATCGCTACAAAATTCATCCGGCTTCCTCACTCTTGCAGTATGGAAGACAACGACAAACTCAAATTATCATTTGCAGCATAAGCCAAAACCCCATTAATGATTTCTAGCTGATTTTCAGCCTGATTCCCCGGTTCGCTCTCCATTCCCAGTTCTTCTAGGTAGAGTTTGGTTTTCCATTTTTGTTTCCTACATGTTTCATGTTTCTTCGTTTTTTATTTGGGTTTTGCTGTCGTTTGTTGGATTTGATTTGATTTCATTGGAAAATGACGCGTCTTTCTTGTTCCCAGTTGATTGATCCAAATGGGTTTTGCTTATATTTTACTGGGTTTTGTTCCGATTTTAGTTTCTGTAATGGGTACTGAATTTTAATGGAGATGAACTTGCTCTTTGTGTTACTTCCAGCTGACGGAACACACTGGGAAAGTTTGTCATATGGCAATGTTTCTGCGAATCTAGATTATCATTTCTTTCCCTTTTGTGGTTCAATCTCATAACTGTTAAAAAGTGTCTTCTCCTTCTCCTTCTCCTTCTCCTTCTCCATCATCTTAAGTCATTAAATTTGCTTTCTTTCAGGTCCACTTTTTTCTGGGTTTATGGATCTGGCATCTTAAATTAGGAACTGGTTTCATTTTGATCTTATACACTGCTGCGTCTCTTTCTTTTTCTCAACTGTACGTGGTCTAAATCTTGTGTTTTTAGTGCCTTGCGAGCAGAATTATTCTGGGTTTTCTATCTTTAGTATTCTGGGTTTAGTCCTTTTAAGTTAAAAAGGGAAGCTTTCATAGGAAGGCTGTGTGGTGAGATTTTTAACTGGTTGAAGTGAAGAACTTTACTCGTTTATTTGGAAATTGGTTCTGCTTCCTTATAAGGTTACCTTAATCTTTTCACCATGATTGGATTTCAGGTCTGTAGAAAATGTCCAGGCCTCTGCATCGGGGTGCATCTGGGTTACGGATCTCTGGTCACAACCATGATTTTTGGGATTCTCATACAAATGATAGAACAGAAAAGGAGGATTCAGATAGAAACCGATCGTCTGAACAGAATTATTTAGTACCCAGGTCTCCTTTTCGGTTTCTTTTCATGGATAACTCTAATTCCAAACATGGTTTCACTGAGAATGGTTTTGGATCTGATCACTTCAGTATTGGAACTCCAAGAAGCCGGCATAAATTGGCACTTTTGTTTTTGAAGTTAAGTTTAGTTCTGATTGTTATTGTTGCTCTTACTGGATCCTTTTGGTGGACCATCTCCATTTCTACATCGTCCAGAGGTCACATATTTCATGGATACAGGCGACTTCAAGAGCAACTCGTGTCTGACTTGTGGGAAATAGGAGAGCTTTCCCTTGGTCCTTCAAGGTTGAAAGAACTGGAGTTTTGTCCTGAGGAATATGAATATTTTGTTCCCTGCTTTAATGTTACAGAGAATCTTGCTGCTGGGTTTTCTGATGGTAATGAGTATGATAGAAATTGTGAAAATGGGCCAAGGCAAAATTGTTTAGTTCTTCCACCTGTGAACTATAAAATTCCTCTTAGGTGGCCAACTGGGAGAGACATCATCTGGTTTGCAAATGTTAAAATTTCTGCTGAGGAGGTACTGTCTTCAGGCAGTTTGACCAAGAGGTGAGTGAAGGTTTTCCATGTGGCCAACTTCCATAATTTCTTCCTTTCTTTTGATCTCTTCCAATTCACACTTCACATGGTTGCAGGATGATGAAGGAGGAAGATAAGATTTCCTTTCGTTCAGCCTCTCTCATGTTTGACAGTATGGAAGACTACTCGCATCAAATTGCAGAAATGATTGGATTGAGAAATGAATCTAACTTCATACAAGTTGGTGTAAGTGGAAATTGACGTCTCTCCTCTTTTTTTTTTTTAAAATGAAAAATGCATATGTTGAACTGAACATTTACTGCGCTATTGCTCATGTATTTTTCTGCTTTGCCTAGATTATTCATAGTGGGTTAATTTTGTGTTGACATGTTTTCCTAATTTTATTTTATTTTATTTTTTTCCATTTTCTGTCTCAACAATGAGCATATCCTGTGAATTAGATAACCACTTGCCACCTCTGGTGTCTGATATTGCAACCTTGGCTATATGTTTTCTTCAAATCATTAGAAAGCCTCAATACTAGCTTTAGTACCTTATTCAATCTATGTGGGCATTCTGTGTCACCTGGACACTCTGCATCACTATTAAATCATCTGTGAGAACAGGTCTCTTCCTGCAACCATCTGACATGCCAACTGCTTTTGCAGGTCAGAACCATCTTGGATATTGGATGCGGTTATGGTAGCTATGGAGCTCATCTATTTTCCAAACAACTCTTAACTATGTGCATTGCAAACTATGAGTCCTCAGGCAGTCAAGTTCAACTAACGCTTGAAAGAGGCCTTCCTGCAATGCTTGGTTCTTTCATGTCAAAACAACTGCCATATCCTTCTCTTTCATTTGACATGTTGCATTGTGCTAGGTGTGGTGTTGATTGGGACAAAAAAGGTATCAGTTAAAAGTTGTGAACTTTCTTATTGGAATAATGTGCATGGTTAAACTTGTAAAAGCATTTTTTCTCCTGTTAGAATCTACTTCTTTTTGTATTTTTCCCTTTACTGGTGTGTAGAATTTTTTTTCAATTGAAGTTATTTGCTATCAAGTTACTCTGGGAAGATTTAAGGATATTTAATTGTTTTAAAGCTTTAATTGTTTTAAAGCTTTCTTCTAATTTATATTTATATTTATGTGTGTAGCAAGATGTGTATTTACATTAGTTTCATGATCCTTAGTTTAGTGGATGCCCCCTTGTGGCTGATTGGTCAGGGTGTAAGAAAACAATGCTCAATTTCACATTCATTTTGTCAGTTGTTCATTGATAAAGGTGTTTGATACAGATTATTAGCATTTTAGTTAGATGGGGTAAATTTGTGCAAAAATTGTGCTGTATGCCTGTATCTGGACTTATATTATGGAAGTGTGGTAACTTGAAGATTATATTTAGTTATACCATTAATCTCAAATTAGTTGTTCTGAAAATGCTATCATTTTCATAAATTTTTGTAATTAAAAATAAATCATGTTAGCACAAAATCTTGGCTTTGTACAGATTTTGCCTTTTCTGTGAACAGCTGGAAGTTACCTTTTCATTTGTATTGTATGGTACAGATGGCATTCTCTTAATTGAAGCCGATAGAGTTCTGAAGCCTGGTGGATACTTTGTATGGACTTCACCACTAATTAAAGTTCAGACATTAAATCGTAACAAGGAGAATCAGAAAAGGTGGAACTTTGTTCATGATTTTGCAGAGAATCTCTGCTGGGAGATGTTATCTCAGCAGGATGAAACTGTTGTGTGGAAAAAGACAAGCAAAGCAAGTTGCTATGGTTCCCGGTATGGCAACACACTACTTATTGTACATCCTTAGTCTCTGATCATATACCCAGAAGATATGAATTCACTTTGAGGACATAATTGATATGCAGTAGAGGTGTTTACTAGCTTAAAATTATTTTTCATGCTGATTATTGGAACCCTTTGTTTGTACGTCCAGGAAGAGTTCAGGTCCTTCTATTTGCAGTAAAGGGCATGATGTTGAATCTCCATATTATCAACCTCTTCAAAACTGTATAGGAGGAACACATAGCCGTCGATGGATTTCTATTGAAGCTAGAAAAACTTGGCCTTCTAGGTCTAGTTTAAACAAGAATGAACTGGCAGTATATGGTAAGAATCAATACGATTGTAATGGACCATGGTCGCAGAAATATTTAACCAGTATAACACCTGCCTTTGGTTATATTCTAATTCTTTCATTGTTTTATTAGGTCTGCACCCAGAAGAATTTATTGAGGACAGTGAAAACCGGAAAGCAGCTGTTCGTAATTATTGGTCTCTCCTATCACCATTAATATTCTCAGATCATCCAAAAAGACCCGGTGATGAGGATCCTTCACCACCTTATAACATGCTCAGAAATGTGCTTGACATGAATGCTCACTTTGGTGGTTTCAATTCTGCCTTACTGGAAGATGGGAAGTCCCTGTGGGTCATGAATGTTGTCCCAACAAGTGGACCCAACTACCTACCCTTAATTCTTGACAGGGGCTATGTTGGTGTATTGCATGATTGGTAATTCTCTCTTCTAGCAATTCTCTTCTCTCCACACTGTACTTATTAGGAGTATTAATTTTGTGGCAACTTAATCTGCCTTTGTAAGAAATAAGTTCTGCTGTCACATCTGAAACAAACTTGACATTGCTCTTAATTTGTAAGGCAAATGATTACCCTTGTTTTGTTCTGTAATAGTTATAGTTTTACAAATCATGTCTTTTATACAATATAATGTTCTATGTCCCTTCTAACTTTGATCCTATCCAGGTGTGAACCCTTTCCAACATATCCTAGAACCTATGATCTGGTGCATGCAGAAGGGCTTCTATCCCTTGAGGCAGGTCAACGTCGCTGGTGCTCTCTGCTTGATTTATTCACTGAGATAGATCGTTTACTTCGTCCAGAGGTACTCAAGTTACTCATTTTTTTCATTAGTTATTAAAATGAATAGATCGTTTAAAGTGAAATATCATTGGCCGTAGGAGGAAAGAACTCATCAATTTAAACATGGTGTTTATCGATTATTTAAAACAGAATGCACCACCGCACATTTTTATTCTGCTGTTGCTCTGTAATTTCAATTAACTTGAGAGCTAGTTTTTGCGAGATATAACTGAGGTTGATGGCATTTTTCCACATGGCCTGCTTCCAATTTTGGAAAAGATAGATGATTTAACTAAATATGGCATTGGTGATTGCAAATTTTTCTGAATCAAGTATAAAGAAAAAACCTCTTGCATAGGTTTAAAGGTGCAAACAGTGGTGACTCTTTCATTAGTTTTTTCATGTATCTTCTGCATTGCAGGTGCGTTAGAAGGCTTTAGTACATTCTTCTATATATTTATTATCTTTCCTTTTGGAGGAGAGAAAAATGTCAGTCCAACTTTTGTTGTAAGAATCATTTGGGTTACTTGGTATTCTTATCTTAAACTGCAGTGAATAGTTTAGATTGAAACATGCCTCATAGTACATAAGCAGCTTCTGCATATAATTTCAGTTAAAGTGCAAAATGAAAAGGCATCTTACATCATTTACAAGTCAGCAAATGCCTCATAGTCCCCTTGAATGATTAGATTCGAGATATCTGATATCTGTAGTTGGTGCAGGGTTGGGTAATAATCCGGGACACAGCACAACATGTTGAATCAGCAAGAGCTCTAACTACACGGCTGAAGTGGGATGCACGAGTCATAGAAGTTGATAGTAGCAGTGACGAGAGACTCCTCGTCTGTCAGAAACCTTTCTTTAAGAGACAAGCAAGCTAGTCAAATGATATGTAAAAGTAAACATCAAGAAGTTTTACGCCATGGTATTCAAATTCATTTTTGTGGGTGTTAAGTATTCATCATAAAGCTCCACCACAGAAGGTGGGGGGGTGGGGGGATATTATATCAGATATTTTGAACACAAAGAAGAAAGCATCAAAAGAGAGGAGAGAGTAGAAAGTAGAAAGAATGAATTAGTCTTTGTGGCACCAACCACAACTCCTATGTTAGCCGTAAGGCGTACATAGGGCCATGTAATTACTTCAATTTGAGGAGTATAGGATTAGATTTACATTTTTCATGTCATGTTCAATTATAACTATACAACCCTACATCATTAAGATTGTGAAAGATGATTACAGAATAAGCAAGGGCTACTAGTTGTTGTGTAGATGTTGTGGCATTCAGGCATTGCATTTATGAATGATGAAAAAAAATTTATTTTCATCTGTCCTATGTTGTTCTTGGCTCAGCTTTCAGGTCATTTATTATGTTCTTTGGATGGAAAGACAGAAAATTGAAAGCAGGTGAAGTACTGGTGATACTTTGCCTTTGGAAGCAATAACTCTAATAACCTCATTGCATCTGGTGGTACATAAATGCCTATTAAACAGTTTAAACCTAATACCAAACTAAGACTTTAACCAAGGCATCTGTTGATTTCCTGGGGGCCGAAATGGTGACCACCTAGACCATGGCAGACAGTCATTTCCAATCAGTTATTGCTTAGGAATAAGTCATGCCAGTGGTCGAGATGAAATGGAAAAGATCTGAACTTCCACTTAAATTAAAAACATAACTAAAAGTTTACGTCATCCGACCTTAGCTCAGTTGGTAGAGCGGAGGACTGTAGTGGGTAAAGCCTTAAAGCTATCCTTAGGTCGCTGGTTCGAATCCGGCAGGTCGGATTTTTTTCCTTTTTTATTTTACTTCTAACTTCTTCTTCCTCTTCTTCTTCTTTTTTTTTATTATTTTTGGCGCCAATTATTATTTTATTTAAAAAAAAAATAAATTAGTGACTCAGACGGCAACCGAGCTCCATGGCCGAATTCCATGGCTTCCCGCCTCTTCATCTCCAAACCACTGTTAAACCCTAATCCTAGCTTCCCAAAACGCCTTCCTTTTTCCACCTCCTTTCTCATCACCAAAATCCCCAAGAAGCACAGACCCAAACGTCTCAAACCTGATTCCCTACGCACCCGCCCCGTCCAACCAGACTCCACTCGGATCCCCTAATTCGACTCTCTCCTCCACTGCGACGCTGCCTTCCGATTAGTCACCAAGGTCAAAGAACTCCTCTCCAAACAGCCCGAGCAAGTCCTCCGTCCCGATGATGCCGGCAAGCTCTTCCGTGAGCTTGGGTTTCCTCGCGGTAGCATGGTGTCCCGGTTCATCGCCCGCCATCCGTTGCTCTTCACCATTTACCACTACTTGGACGGGAAAATGTGGGTCGGATTATTAGGCAAAGAGAGATTGATTATGGATGCCATGGAGGCGGATAGGGTGACCAAAGTTCGCAAATTGCTCATGATGTCGAAAGATAAGCGGATTCCATTGAGTAAGATTTATCATACGAGGTTGTTTTTTGGGATTCCTGAGGATTTCAGGGACCAGGTGGAGAAATAGCCTGATTATTTTCGGACTGTGGTGGAGGGTGATGGGAAGAGAGTGGTTGAGTTGGTGAATTGGGACCCTAATTTGGCAGTGAGTGTGCTGGAGAGGAAATTTATGGTGGATGAGGATAAGGGGAAGAAGGCATTCAAGATTTGGGATTGGAAGAGGGTGATATGAGAAGGCTTAACTTGTTGAACACCTTGCCATTGATTTCCCCTTATTCAAATGGGTTGAGATTGGATTTATGGAGTTTGGAAGCAGAGAAATACAGGGTTGGGGTTACACATGAGTTCTTGAGCTTGCCATTGGAGAAGAGGGCTTTGATACACCATATTGTGGAGTTCAAGCAGGAGTTCAGCTTGACCAGGCAGATCTACCATATGCTTAAGAAGCAGCCCAAGACGTTTTATTTGGCTGGTATAGAGATGAACTGGGCAGTTTTCTCGATGGATGCATATGGTGAGAATGGGGATTTGGTTAATAAGGTTCGACAAGTTATGTTTAATGAAAAGTTGTATTAGTATGCTCTAATGCAAGAAGGGAGAGAGGCATTATCTGTGACATATAATGTGGAGTGAGTTACTGATGGCTGATGATGAGAGAGTTAGAAATGACTAGAAGTATCCTAAATGTGCTGTCGGTGGTGAATTAGGCTCCAGAAGGTTGCTTTTGATCAAGACGAGCATTTGATTCTAAGCACACAAGGTACCAAATGTTAGCCATTCATATTTTGTCACACTTTTCTTTCCCCATCAATTAGAATTCTTTTGTGCAGAAAGTGAGTTTTAAATATTCTTTTCCCATGTTAGATGGTAAACCCCATTTTGTTCTTTAAATGGTTTAGTTTAAGATTAGGGCATTGAGCTTGAGTTGACTCACTGCTGGTTTGCTCCGTAGAGCATTGAGGTTGTCTCTTTTCTCAATCATCTGTAGAAAATACCAAAATTGATCATGTCACATAAAAATCTAAAGAGGACTTGCTATCTTGTAGTCGGAATTTTGCAATGTTGATCTAGAGAGAACAAAAATCTTATTGATTCTCTGCAGATGTCAATCAAGAATCTCTAGACGAGCAGTGAGCGATTGTAGTCTTTCGTTACTTGTTTAAAATAATAATAATAATAATAATGCCAAACAGACAGTGATTATCTTTACTCCTTCGTAAAAGCTAAATTCCAACTCTAGACAAAAGAATAAAGATATTTGGTACAAGTAGGGTCATTTCACAGGGAATGAAAATAATAAGGTAAAAATGTGAAAAATGGCCGTGCAAATTAATACAAAATGCTCTTTGTTTTCAGCCAAAAAAAAAAAATTGTAGAATCTCTGCCAAAAAAAAAACACACACACACACACACACAAAATGTAGATTCAAATAGAACAGTACCATAGCAAGCTGTTTTACCATGCCATAACAAGCTTAAATAACAGCTATAGAAATTAACATTTTACCACACCACACCACACACCACAGTACATAAGAAACTCTAAAATACCAGAACCACACTGACGTGGAGAAGGAGAAAGATAGGCAAAAGAGAGGATGGAGGAAGTAGAAATTGCAACAGAACGTACCTAGCTAGCAAGCTGTGTTCTGTGGCTCTAGTGAAAATAAAAGAGGAAAGAAACCCCCTTGAATTTTGAAGGTAAACTAATCAGGAATAGACCTGGTAAATTGGTGGGTTGGGTCACTACAGGTGACGGGTCATATGTGTTCAGTGAAACAGATTCATGGCTCAGATAAGGCCACCAATTTTGCTTATCCATATCACGGGTTCATGGGTTGTGAGTCAAATGGGTAGCGTAGAATGAGTCACAGTCAAGAGGCATTACCTGTGAGGCTGTGACTCATTCCGAGTGGTCAAGTTGGCAGGTAGAGTCAACCTTTGCAATGTGTTCCCAGGAATGAGAAAACATCTAACGAGATGAAGACCGTTGTGCAGATAAAGGTGTCTTTGGAGGCAAATAAGGACGACTATGGCTTTTGGATTTGTCTCTGCTCTTGTGCCCAACTGCGACAGTGCTTCTTGACCTAATGGAGGAGGATATTGATCCACCCTGGCTTACTTTCTTAACTGCTTTTCTTCGAGAACCCCAGTTGCTACTCCCAAGAGCAGCTTTGGCAACACTATCAGTAAGAACTTCCCTTGCTCTCTGTGGTTTGACGGGCTGCTTGTTCAGGTATGCTAGTTTTGGGAGGAGACTACATACGGCCCTGCGCAGCTGCTCATCACTGATGTTGTTCTGAATTGGATTCCCCAATAGATTCAAAGCTTGCAATGAATTGTAGTTTGCAACAAGTTGACCCAGGGATTTTGTTGTAGTTATCTTGTTGAAGCTCAGGTCTAGGACTGTTAACTTTAAGAGCCTGTGCAGCCCTTCAACATCACTAATCTTGTTCCCAGCAAGATAGAGCTCTTTGATCAGTGTACAGTTTGACAACCCTATATCATCAAAATCCACCGAGCACTATTAGAACTGTATGCAATTTAATGAAGGAGAAGGACTTGAGAATTTTTCACCAGAAAATTTGGTTTTTATTCAGACCAAAAATGTGTTCTTTGAAGATAATTACCATGTCCAATTCGAGAAATGCGGTTGTAACTGAGATCAAGCACTCTCAATCGAGTCAGTTCTCTGAGTCCTTCAATTGTGTTGATCTTGTTCTTTGACAGGTTGAGTGAATGGAGGCCCTTTGGCAGCAAACCTGGAGCAATATGGACTGCACAAAAAGTAAACAATCATAACCATGCATCAGAGTTTCAACTTTCAAGTTCAGGTATGAACTAAGAAAATATCTCAAAGAATTTTGCTTGCTGACAACATACCTATGAGGTTATTTGACAAGTTGACAGATCGAAGGCTGGAGAAGAGTGAGATGGATGGGATAGCTTTCAACCATATGCCTGAAATGTGAGCCACAGTTGAAGAAGAGTTGAGAGACTGGATGACATTATTGGCCTGTAATATCTCCTCAGACAGATTGACATCTAGATGCCGAGTCTGGTGAGCTGTGCTTCTTGTTAACGATTTAACACTATCAGGAGAAGATGGGAATCTGACATCCTCTTCAGTGTTTGCATCTTCATTAGTGGGAAGTGACACTTCGGTGTCAAGATCCCTCACCCACTCCTCTACTCTTGTGAATGACGATGATTCACCAGGGAAAGCAACCCATTGGTTCTGGGGCCACAATCCAGAAACTCCATTGTGAAAACCTTTCCAGTTCTGGTTGTCATTGCAGTTGCCATTGTGGACTTTGTTTAAGGACTCCCCACTAAATGATTGTGGTGATTCCATCTTGCTTAGTTTCATTGCCTGATTCAGCTCGAGTGTATCTGAAGAGTATCCGCCTTGCTTATTCTTATTACCACAGACAAGGGGTGTCTGTCTTTTAGCCGTCCAAGGTTTGTGCAAGTTCCGGTGGCTCCAGAGAAACAATTTCCACCAAAGTCTTCGACTCCTTGAAGGCAGAACTTGACTGGAAGAATGCTTCTTCAACATCACTCTATCAGCACTTCCATGGGTCATTACAGAAATAGGGCTCCCAGGAATATAATCCTCCCTCAACCTTGTAGACAACTCTTGCAATTCTTCAAAAGACTGAGATTTTGAAGGAGGCAACTGATCAGCTATCTTTCTTAGCACATCCCTCGTTTCAAGATTAGAGCAGGAACGCTTTAGCTGTGGTGAAGCCCAGAATTCAGCTCTCTCGATACCTGGATCACTAACATGTCCACTTTGGATTGTGTCAACACCCTTTTGACCATCTTGCTCAGCTTCGTTCATCTCTTGCTTTGGTTTGGCATCACATGAATGATCAGAAGAATCCAAGTTTGTAGTTCTCAAATCAAACTCCACACATGAATTGGCATGGGCTTGGAGATCAAAGTCAGAGAATTCTCTCCTGATTGAAGCATTTTCTTCATGTTCATCTTCCCCTTCATATGCTACCTCTGTTGTACCATCCTCAACAAGGCTCTCCAGGCTCATTACTCTGGCATGACAAACAGAATCCTTCTCAAGTCCAGAAGGTACAAAGACATTAGACAATGTTGATTTCAACTCATCTGACTCAATGGGTTTGATTTGCTGTTCAAGCCTAATCTGGAGCGTTCTAAGCGCTTTATTGTAATCACCTTTTGTAGATTCATCGTTCTCCTGCAAGTTATCAATGGTAAAGGATGAATGCGAGAACTGTTAAACAACAAATTTCAATATATTTGTAAATCAAATTCAATTGATTGATTCTCACCTTATCTTTCTTCTTCCTAGAGATCAATAAAGAGAAACAATTTAGTTTTCCCATCTGAAAAATAGCTGGTTCTTGTACCTCAATGAAGCTCGCAATAAGTACAATATCTATGTTCTGTATCTATATACTCTCTCGAATGTATCCTATTGGTGCTGACATCTCTAGCAGCTACTCAATCAAAGCCTAAACAATATAAGATTATTGAATTGCAGACTGTCACATTGGAGAATGGTTTGATCAAAACTCAGCCGTAATCAATGGGAAGCCGCCAAACGAATAACCCAGTGAAATTGAAATGCGATTGAACACTGGAAAAGATAGGTTCAACATCCTCCCCAGTTGCACAAAATTTCCCTAAAGAATCGGCCAGAGTTGTATATCCAGCTGCTTCTCTCCGGAAGCTCCGCAAAATCTTTCCTGGGTAATTCTCCTGCTAATTTACAAAAATAAAAAACGAAGTAAACAGGCGTCAGAAAATTTCAAATTCTCCCCTAAACAGAGAAAAACGATTTCTTTTTTTTGGTTTCCCGTCCGATATCCGGGGCTTCGCCCGACTACTCTGTACTCGACCAGCTGTGGCGCACTAAAATGGTGGGTGGGAAGGCTGTTTCGAACTCGACAACTTGTTTAAGCTGTAACAAGCGCTTGCCACTTGATCCAACCCCTCATTGGTTTTGTTTGGCAGACGGACATTTCAGCCCACCTCTCAAAGCAATTCCTCTATTAAACATCATCCTAACTACCGTTCTGTTTTCAGGCGAACCAGAGAATTCCATTATAAGATTTTTATAAATAGTCATTGTTCTAGACCAGTCAAACTCATTCAACATCAAATTTCGATCCTGCAGACCACAATACAAAAGAAGGGGGGAAAAAAAAATCTTATTCCACCTAAAGAATTCGACTAAGAGACGAATTTTTTTTCATTTTTGAAAGAATTACAAGAAACATAAGCATAGATAGATTAGAATCTTGTTTCTACCTGCAGCAGCTGAATTCTGCCAGCTTGTTGAACGAGCGGTGAATTAACGAGATTTCCTAAGCAGCAACCTGACGGCGAATTGAGGGGCTGCGTAGATCTTGACGGCGGAAAGAACTTTTACAGGGGCAGAGGAGAGAGAGGCGGTGGTGGTGGTTATGAGGCCAGAAAGTCCTGGAAATAAATAGCGAAAGCATGTAGGAATTGGAAAGTAGAGTTTCAAATTAAGACAAACACGCAAATTACACCGCATTACAAAAAGGAATTTTCCCCGGGTGCATGATAATATTCATTAAATATAGCATCTTTAATTAGTTTTATATAAAATTTTATAATAGATTTAATTAAAATAAAATATAAAAATAAAATATAATATAATATTTATATTCAAAATCTATGAAAAAAATATAAATTTAATATAAAAATTTATGTGAAATTAATTACGTTTAATAAAACTTAACAAATCCTTACAAAAATTAGCACCCGCCTTTAATTATTTAATGGGTTAATGCCAACTATCATCCATCTATTATTGAAAAATGTTCAAGTTAAACCTTCTACTATCAATTCACCTCATGTCCTCCCTCTATGTCTATTGTCATTTAACTACACATGTCCTCCCCGTACTATTGAAAAGTGTATCAATGTTGTCCCTTTGTCCAATTTAGGGGCAATGGACAGTTTGGTGACTGTTAACTATCAAATGGTTAGACATCCAACCCTTTTTTAATTAATTTTTTTGTTCATGTGCTTTGATGGGTCTACTTGTGCCACATCATATCTCCCTTAAAATCCTTGCAGGCACTGTGCAAGCTTCAAAAATCCCCAAATTTCTTTCTTTTTTTTGAACTCATTTTCTCTTTTATGATAAACCATATAAAATCCATCAACACCATCAACAATCAACTAAAATCACTATGTGTATTCAAGAAGTTTGGATGTTGGCAATGTCGTGAAAAGATACTCAAGGTTTCAGTTAAAGAAGGTGATTCGTTGGTGAGGAAGTGTTGATAGCGACCAAAGTATTGGGTTTGTTTATGGTGATTAAGATTTAGGTATAAGAAATTAAGTTTCATTTTGAAAGATTTAAGATTTGGGTCAAGGAATTGAGTTTTTGTTCATTTGGGGTCTTGTTGATTTGGGTATTGGATTAAAGGAGATCAGTGTGCTTTAGTACTAGGGGTTTTCCCTTTTGTAGCCATGTTTTATGGTGTAGCGATATGGGATCTTTGGCTTAATGTTGCACAAATTGTTTGCCTCCAATATTTATACTACATAACTCTTGGGTTGTTCTTGTCTGTCCTTGTGGGGACTCATGTTTCTCAAATGAGCCTAGTGTATTTTTGACTTTGCTACAGTAACTACATCTACCATAATTGGATGGTGTGTAATTACTTTTGTTCTGCTCAATGTTATGATAGGGTGAGAATCCAATTCTATTTGTAGTATTGTTTCTATGTTTATTCTAATAAATGGTCTTTTTGCTTCATTTTCTATTTTTTATATAAGGTATGGTGTTTTAAAGTCTTGTGTTGACAAGCACAAGAATAGCAACTTAGACAATATACTAAAAAGGGAGGCTTGTATATAATTCAACTCTCCCATTAAAGGCCTTGTTCTTCCGACCCCCTATAACTGAATGATGATCCTTTGTAAATGCTTACACTATAAGAATTGTTTTTACCTTCTAGTTGCTTCTTCATATTATTAGCAAAGTACATTTTATATCAATTAGTCCTTTAAATCATGTATAGGTGTAGATGATTGCTTTCTATCTACTATTCTTGAATCTAAGGTTACGTTTGGAATTGTTGTGAAGTGTTATGATTATGCTCAATTATGTTATGTTGTAGCTATAATCAAAAGGTTATTTTGGTGTTATTTATTTTTTAAAAGTATTGTAGATGACAAAGGGTAAATTTTTTTTTTGAACAATTTGAAATTATTTATAGGGTTAATTGGGAGATGGGGGAAAAGGATTTCGTGAGACTCGAACGTGTAACCCACTGGAGGGAAAAGGATTTCGTGAGACTCGAACGTGTAACCCACTGGATGTGAACAGTCTTAACCCAGGTCCAATGCCACTGGGTCGGAGCGGGCCATTCGACAAAGGGTAAATTTTATTAATTATTAATTAAAATTTTAAAAATATTATATGATGCATAATTTCAAATAAACTAGAGGTTGGATTTAAATAAAATATTATAAGTTGTGGTGTAATTAAATTAAATAGGTTGGGTTTTTGTGGGTAATTTTATAATTCTATGAAATAATAAATCTTATTCGTGAAAGCACAATTAGAAAACTTTGAAATGAAGTTTTTAGTCTATATATAAAATTACTGCAGATTTACTGTGACTTTCTATAATTAAAAAAATAATAATTTAAAAAAATTATCAAATACATATATATCTAAAAGTATTACACAGTTACAAGAAAAAACACCCAACTATAATCCCAAATGCACCCTAAAAATAGTTAAATAAAATATTGAAAATTTACAAACCCAAAAAAAGTTGAAATCATGAATAAATGTTCAAATTAAAAAAATTAATTGTGTTAAAGATACCATAATTTATTTGGAACACAAGATAAAGTTGAACTTTGTATTTTGTAGCACATAGAGCTTGCCTTTGTTAATTCATAGATCTTTGTTTCGGATGACCCTTTCAATTTTTCCACACATTATCCTTGTTGAATTATGAGCCTTATTGTTGCTTATTTTGTGGCAGCCTTTTTGTCTGTAGTGGTTAAACCATGAATAAAAAATTCTTATCTTCTCCTTTGAGGAAAGGGGAAGGGGCAAAAAGTATGAAATGTAAGTGTTTGTGCCCTAAACAAATGTAATAAAAGTATAGAAAGTTGATTATTTTTTAGAGCCAAACAATGAAAAAAAGGATGAATTCTTGCCCACATGAACCAAATGAGTAGGAGGAGGCGAGCAGTTTATAGCAATTTCTCATGGAAAGAAAAGCCATTAAAAATTTGATGTGGAATGAGTAGAGCCTACTAAAGCACAGTTAGCTAAGTAAAAATTTATTAAAAAAGGGTTGGATGTTCGACTGCCTAGTAGTTAACGGCCAACAAACTATCCGTTATCCTTAAATTAGACAAGGGGATGACATTGATACACTTTTTAATGGTAGGGGGAGGACATGTGTAGTTAAATGATAGTAGTGGAAGGACATGAGGTGAATTGATAATAGAAGGTTTAAATTGAACTTTTTTCAATAGTAGAGGGATGCTAATTAGTATTAACCCTTATTTAAACGAGAATAATAATAATAATAAAATAAAATTTGAAACTAAAATCAAGGATTAATGATGTAACATAAATTATGTCATTTAAATAATATTTCTAAACAACTTATGGGGTTTAATGTAGTTAAATTTTAAATTGCAATTTAATTTTTAAATTAATTAAAATTCAATATAATTTTCATATACATACTTATTAATAAAAGAGAAAAATTACACCACAAATCCTTAAGGTTGTGTTTGGGAACTTGAATTTGAATTTGACGAGTATAATTAAAATATATGTAATTTAAATACACATATTTTAAAATACATTGTTTAGATTGAATAAAAATTTTAAATGATGAAGGTGATGGAAATGGGAGAAAAGATGGTGGTGGTGAGCATAACTTGCAACAGTAAGTGGAGAGCAGTGACAAAGTCGATGATGGACGGACGATAGAGGCCTCATCGCAATCGATGAGAGGAGAGAGTGTAGAGGAAATTTAAATTGAAATTGAAATTTATAAGTTTGAGGGTGAAATTGAAAAACATTATTTTTCTCCCTTTGAATTATTCAAGGGAAAATTCATGTATTTAAGTCAAATTCAATTACTTTTTATTTATGTAAAAATAAACACTAATATTAAATTTAAAAAGTTTAAATTCAAATACATTACATCAAAATTATATTCCCAATTATAAGATTATTTAAACAACTTGAGCATTATTTAAACAAATCTTAATAAAAGAATCCACTCCTTCAGCGGCATAT